TTTTTTTTTTTTTTTTTTTTTTTTTTTTTTTTTAAGGGAATATGTAGTTTAGTAGTGGTTCACTGGTTTGTACTAATGATGTTGAATTATCTTTTTTTTTGTTCAGACAATGATGTTGAATTATCATTATTTAATGTTACATATGGAAAGAAAGAAGTATGTTGCAATGCTAACAACCACAAAAGTTAAGTTTCAAATCTTTTTCTTTATCTATTTTTTTCTGATATCCACTAATTAAACAATTAGCATAGTTTTATGATATTTTTATTTTACATAGCGTAAGATTAAATAATCCTCTCCAACCTATATCTTTGACTTGCTATCAACAAACTGAGTAAAAAAATGACTAACATGACGGTCCACGTGAAAATCAGTTATCTCATGATATAATTTAATTTTATAGTCATATTATATTTTGTAAGCCAAAACTAGCTTGCCAAAAATGCTACCGAACAACTTTTAATTCTGCAAGATATCACAGTTTTTGTTTTAAAAAATATCGAGAGGGGAATAAGAGTCAGCTGGTCAATGCACACGATGAGTTAGGTCAGTGTTGTTCACACTAGAATTTGTAGCAAAGTCTATAACGTTTCCTCTTTCGGCGGTAATTGCACATATCCATACACACCATGATCATTTAAAACTAATCAAATAATGGCCGAGTTGTTCATATTGCACAAATTTTTTGTATTATTAAACGAATACCAGTTATAGTTATACCACCATTATATACCCCAAGCGTGAAATTTACTCAGTGAATTCGTATTCATTTGTAATCGATCATTTAAATTTTCTAAACACAAACTCATGTTCTGAAATTATATTCTAACAATAGAAGAATTTATTAATTATACTCTTTGCCATTTATACAAAGGAATGACCACCATTTGAAGCACTAATTTGTTATTACAACTAAAAAGTTACTATTAGTCGATAGACTCAAACTCAATAAACCTTTCAATTTCATTTATTTTATAATTGCAAAAGCTACCGCACTCGTTACATTGTTTAGCGAGCAACGATATATAAGTGATCTAATTCACTCATCTACTTAAGGTACACAAGATCAACGCATGTGACTCAACTTGCAACACAATTTTAAAATATTTTGCAGACAGTCTAAAGAATTTTTCATGAATTATAATCCAACATAAGCGTATCCTAACCAGTTGACTAATTACTCTGCCCGATTAAACTTACTTATTGAATTTACACCACCGTGCGGTCCGTGCCGAGTGCTGCCTTTTATACGTATTTAAAATATCAGATATTCAGATGTAGAAAAGTATGATATTTTTTACTCAAAACGTCAAAGATACACATGGTATAAAATACCTCTAATAAAATGGAAAATTATAACAAATACATTTCTATCAACAATAACAGTATTATTACATTACAAATAAATAAAAGAGAAAAAGGCAAAGAATCGTTGACACATGGTTGCATGAGAGATACTTCTCTCCTAAAGATCCACTTCTTCTCAACCAGAATCTTTCCTCTTCTCTAATCATGTTCATATCATATCTCTCTATATATACACAAGCACACTGATATATATCACTAAATTACAAATCTAAAAAAGTTTGTACTTTGCATTTCTCCTGTGATCTCTTTCAAATGGAGCAAGAACTACCTTCAACTACTAGACCCAAGCCCAAGCTACTAAACCGTCTCAACACATACGTAGGCTCAAGCCGGGTCGGTAAGAGATTCAAACTCACCGAACGTAACTCAACTTTCACGACTGAGCTCCGTGCCGGTACGGCGACGTTTCTCACCATGGCTTACATCCTCGCCGTAAACGCCTCCATCCTCTCCGACTCCGGTGGAACTTGCTCTGTTTCCGACTGTATCCCCCTCTGCTCAAACCCAACTCTCCCACCTTCCCAGTGTACCGGACCGGGTCTCAGATTAATCAAACCAGACATAACCTGTAAATTCCACCCGGTTAATCCCGGTTACACCGCGTGCCTCGAAGTACTTCGAAAGGATCTAATCGTCGCCACCGTAGAGCTTCCTCTCTCATCGGTTGTGTAATAATGGGAGTGATGGCGAATCTCCCACTAGCGTTAGCTCCAGGAATGGGAACAAACGCTTACTTTGCTTACACAGCCGTCGGTTTTCACGGATCCGGTTCAATCTCATACCAAACCGCTCTCGCAGCGGTTTTCATAGAAGGTTTAATCTTCCTCTTCATCTCAGCCATAGGCTTCAGAACAAAGCTAGCGAAACTCGTCCCTAAACCGGTCAGAATCAGCTCCTCAGCCGGTATAGGCCTCTTCCTCGCATTCATCGGTTTACAAAACAATCAAGGACTCGGTTTAGTCGGTTACAGCCCTTCCACTCTCGTAACTCTCGCCGCCTGTCCATCCTCCTCACGTGCTTCATTAGCTCCCGTTATAACGTCCCTTAACGGAACCGTTAGTTTGATCCCTGGAGGTTCAGTTTCGGGTGATGTTATGTGTCTCCACGGACGCATGGAGAGTCCCACCTTCTGGCTAGGCATCGTCGGGTTCGTGATCATCGCGTATTGTTTAATAAAAAACGTGAAAGGAGCGATGATATACGGGATCGTGTTCGTAACGGCGGTTTCGTGGTTCCGTAACACGGAAGTAACGGCGTTTCCGAACACACCCGCGGGAGAAACGGCGCATGATTATTTCAAAAAAGTAGTTGATGTCCACGTCATAAAAAACACAGCGGGAGCGTTGAGCTTCTCGGGGATAAGCAAAGGGCATTTTTGGGAAGCGTTAGTGACTTTCCTCTACGTGGATATTTTGGATACTACGGGGACGCTTTACTCCATGGCGAGGTTCGCTGGTTTCGTCGACGAGGAAGGAGATTTCGAAGGGCAGTACTTCGCGTTCATGTCCGACGCGTCTGCTATAGTGATTGGATCGTTGCTAGGGACGTCTCCCGTGACGGTTTTTATTGAGTCGTCCACGGGGATAAGGGAGGGAGGGAGGACGGGGCTGACGGCGATCACGGTGGCGGTTTATTTCTTCTTTGCGATGTTTTTCACGCCGTTGTTGGCTTCGATACCGGCGTGGGCGGTTGGACCGCCTTTGATATTGGTCGGGGTGATGATGATGAAGTCGGTGATGGAGATTGATTGGGGAGATATGAGGGAGGCGATTCCGGCGTTCGTGACGATGATTCTGATGCCGTTGACGTACTCTGTGGCGTATGGGTTGATAGGAGGGATTGGGACGTATGTTGTGTTGCATCTGTGGGATTGGGGGGAAGATGGGATGGTGAAGTTTGGGTTCTTGAAAAGGAAAGTTGTTGAAGAAGAGGAGGTTAATGATAGTAATGGAGTTGTGAAAGTTAATGACACTCATATGTCTGTTTAGATGTGTTTTTTTTCTCTATTTCTTCTGTTTCACATTTTTGTTACTATTGGTTGATTTATTTATCTTGTATAAGAAAATGTAAAAATGGGGAGATAAAATAATAAGCAAAACTCTAAAGTTTTCAATCTCAACAAGGCTTTTCATGTTTTGTAAGAAGATGATGTGTTACCATATAGTTGTCTGATCAAAGACCATATCAACCAAGATGTCTGGATATAATCGGTTAAATGCTGGTCAAAGTTACCAGCAAATAGAACTAGAAGGGTAAACTTGGCTTGGGTGCTGATTTGGTTTAAGTTTGATTACTCCTATTTGTAATCAAATCGAACACTCCTAGATGAATAGTATCACTATTATCAAGAATGAATACTTGTATTGTTAAGTATACAATCACAACTTAAATCTAACAAAAGACTTCATTGTGAAGGAAGAAACGTTTGGTCAACTTCCGGTACAATACAGAAAAAGCTAAAGAAAAAAAGCTAAAGGGATGAATCCAAAAAGAGACAACTGAATGGATAGACAAAATGACACTTTCCTGATAATACAAACCAAAAAAAAGCCGGCAAAAAGCTAACACCTCAGCGTTTTGATAGAAACCTAAATGACTTGTGCGAATAAGAATTACTCTTAAGAGGAATGCAAAAGAAAAAAAAACAGTAGAGAAGAATACAAATTCTTTCTATCCTTACTTCATAGTGAATGCACCGCACCATGCTTTCACTTTGCCACAATCTTTTGCAACCCCAAATGCCAACAACTTTCCTATTAACTGCATACTGCATCAGGTGTCAACAAATCCGAGAAGGGCAAGTGCTCTTTCTAACTCTATCGGAGACTCAACCTGAACAGCAGACGGTGGAGCTTCCAGTCTCTCAACAACAGGTCTACGGTCTCTCATGTGATCCCTTTGAGATTTTGGAGGACGTCTTCTTGAACTCTGAGAGAGTCGAACACTATTGCTGGGGCGACGCTCTCCATTGCTTGCGTGTGGAATGTACTGAGAGCTATGTTGGGACTGGGGAGAGACTTGACGGTGAGAGCAGTGGCCACCACTAACTTGGTTGCGGGAGGAATCTTTGCTACTCATGTCGTGGAGCCTTCTGTCTCGACGCTGTTTATAATCTTCCAAACTTCTAAGAGTATTTTGCTGACTTATTCCCCTTGGAGGCGACGAAGCTATTTTCGCCTTCTCACGATTAAGTAGACAGTTATCTTTCTCATGACAAAGCGAGAAGCATAAAAAACAATGCTTCTCTAGTTTCTCATACTCCAAATCAACAGAAATCACTTCACCTGATGGAACTTGTAACGGAAGTCTCATCTCCAAATTCTCGAGACCATTAACGTAAACTCGAACTCGAACTCTCCCGTGCTCCACATCGTCATCTAAGAATGACCCCAACTCTTTCCCAATGGCCTTAACCGTGGTCTTGGTCCAATAATGTAGTGGGAGGCCATGGATTCTAACCCAAAAAGGAATCATGTTAGGGAAAGAGTTGGAGACGATAGGCTCCCATCTTTGTAGCATAACCATCCAACGCTTGTAGTGATAAGGACCTCTTCTCAGCACATACATCAAGTCATCCTCCGTTTCGAAACGGAACTGGAAAAGTTCTGGTCCTAATTCTCTACCTGTAACTCTGCCTTCTAGTTTCCAGTATTGAATCAACCAGTCTATTACATGAATAGGTTTCTGGATTGCAGGGTTTGTGACACGACCAATTAAAGTCTTTTTGTTGGCTTCGATGAGATGTGTGTTGTCACTTGGTGGTATTTTCACTGGGGGTCGTGTAGAGCTGGTAACCCATTTTCCTTTACCTGCTTTCGAGTATCGTTGAGACATAATGTTTGTAGAAGAAGAGAGTGAGTCCTAAAAGAATCTAGTGAGAGGTTAAAATCCTCAATAACGAGGTAATAGTGAGTGTAGAGTGGTGAAGAAAGTCTTCAAGAGCGTGGAGGAAGCTTTCAAGAAACTGAGCTAGTAGATATTTTGATCTTTGAAGTATAGATCTACAGCCATTGTAATGATAGACAGCAAGATGGTTACCATATAAGAGTAGCTCTTACTAAGAAGAATCTGACGTGGTTAAAAAAAAAATCTGTCGGAGAAGATTTAGCGGCGGAGCTCTGGTCGGCGAGTGGCGGAGAATGTGGTACATACGGTGAAAATAACCTCTAAATCATAATGTTGCATGAGTTGAAAGAATAGAGAGAAGCACAAGGGTCGAGAGAAAGCAGGCCCGGCCCGGCCCGGCCCATCACACTATGACTCCTATAGCAAAATAGTCCCTGGCATTTTTTTGTATACTCTAGTCCTCATGCCTTGTTGTGATGAACCCCTGTGGTTCTTATTCTCAAGGTCTACAAAGCATGAGGTATTGCTCAAGACTTAACTAAAATGATCTTATATTCCCCAAAAATCTACTTTTCTTCTAAATTGATACGAGGTAGTATTTTTTCAGTAATTATAACCTTTTAATAATATGATTGCACAACTCAACAGGGACCCATTTGGCCAAGTTCTTACACAGCACTTGACTCTGGTCTTGGTTAGAAAGGTGATCGGATCTTGTGATATTTAGCATTAGATACAGATTAACTCCTGCTAATGAATGATTGTTCTATTTCTGACAGAAAGTACCATGTGGTTTCTATATTCTTGGCCTACGGCTCTATGGTCTCAACCACCACACAAAGTCTTAGTTTGGAGAATCTAACGTACTATTAACTTAGCTTTTCTCTACCTTTATCAACAACAAAATGTGTCTACTTTCTACGCTCAAAAGTCTTCTTTAAACCATATCTTGACAACCCATAAAATCAAAAAAGTTCCACCGCAATATCCAATAGTTGACATCCGTGTTATCTTATCTACATCTAAAGTTGAAATTTGGCTCAGCTAAAAAAGGAGACAAAATTTTGTGTTCACACACACGTTAGGACGTTAATACTACTATACTAGTAACTAGTATAGTGTAGGTGCATGTGTATGTGTACGTGGTGCGTGTGACGGTGAGAGTGTGGGAGAGACTTGGGGAACAAGAAGAAAGAGGCGGTCAAAATTGCCGGTGCTTCAGTTTTAATTGGTAGTAGTTGGAAGTGCAAGTATCATCATCTTTTTCCAAATTTCATTGATTTAAATAGACAAATACTTTAAGGAAAAACGTCCTGCTCAGTTTTTCTCCTGTACTACCCCACTGTTCTTACTCACATGAAAGTGTTTGTGTAGTTGATGATCCCGTAGGTCAAAATATACGTTCCCACAAACGTGTTTAATATTCTTATTTGATATTATAACCGATGGTGAAACTCGTGAATGTTATTTAAATTTCCAATATAAACTATTATATGATTAAGCACTATAAAAATATTCGTAACACAATTCATTAGCTTGTGTAAGAACGCTATTTAGAATTGATGACCTTATCATGTATTGTATGCTTAAATTCAACTATTATACGTTAACAATTTATAAAGAAATACACAAATAATCAAAAATGATTATTTTAGTTTGACCGTAAACTCGAAAGGATTGATTCTTTCGACTCTAAACTTGCCGCGTAAGTTTTTCCAACTGTCATTGACTTTTCTATCCTCACACTTCGTATATATGCAAGACACTACTCTCTTTGATCTTCACCCTCTTCATATATCATACCAAGTAAGAAGACTAATCACTTCACCCACAAAAAGTTTACTGAAAAAATGGCCAAAGTCAGATCTTTGCTTTTGATTCTTCTATTCATCTCTGTCTCTCTATCAACGGCTAGGATCTTACCAGGAGAGTTTGTTCCCATCATCTTATCCGGAGAGATCTCTCCTGATTCCAAAGCGGTGGTTGGTTGTGGAGGCGAGGCGCAGGAGACAAAGACGGGCTTTCCTGAAGTCTTCGCCGGAAAATTTGGCTCCTTGGTGTTGAATGCTCTTCCCAAAGGAAGTCGTCCAGCGTCTGGGCCCAGCAAGAAAAGTCATGACGTCAAGACTTAATTATTTGATGTTCTTTGTCTGATCTTGTTGGTTTTGTTCTGTCTGAATTCTTTTTTTACAAAACTTTTTGAATAGAGAATTTTGTAAATGTTATACTCAGAAATTTCAGTAGAGAGTTTTAGATTCTATAGGGTCTTTTTGAATTGAAATGATCAAGAATGTTTGACTATAATCTTGTATCCATCGATCAATGTTTTTTGATAAACTAGCTTTCTATATTCAATGATTGTTTATTAGACTAAGCAAGGTCGTTAGACGCACGCATATAAGTTGAACTAAAATATAACATTTAAATTGATGTATAATATATAGTCTCGGGGTAGCTGTAATTAGGTTGGTTCCACAAAAAAGATCCCAAGGCTTAAGGGACCTGAAATGAGTGCAAATTATGTAATTTGCCTTAACGCGTCTGATCAACTTACTATGATCGCTTTAATTGGTATCTATGTAGTAGAAGATGAATGTAGCAAAAATTTATTACTGGAAAAGTTTTGTAAAACAACGTGTATTATTGCAACCACACACTGTCAATTGATCTAACTCAAAGACCACAGAGACATTTTAAGTTGTTTCAGACAAGACAACCTTATAAAAACAAAGCCGAGCTAGGAACTGGTTCCTCTCTTTATGTTGATATCCTGCAACGAACTCACTTGCATTCCTTCTCATAAACTTCGCTTGCGTATTTCCAGTTGATCACTTTCCACACATTCTTCAGATACTCCGGCCTCACATTCTTGTACTGCAAAAGCGATGTAAGAGTGATTTAAAAGTTAGAAGCTAATTCACTATTTAGTTACAAGGGAAAACAAGTGTTGTTACCTGCAAATAGTAGGCGTGCTCCCACACATCAATACCCACCAAAGGAACCAAGCTTCCTCCTTTTGTCACAAGTGGATCCTGAGAATATCAAACAGAGTTTTTTTTCCTTAATATTCATCAAAACCTTTTGAACAAATCAATATTGTGGATATGTACCTGATTGGCGGTTGTGTCAACCACAAGCTTCTTAAGCTCTTTGTCTAAACCGAGCCACTAAATCAATCAAGAAAAAACAAGGTCACCATGATTACCAGCATTGCAATAAAACCAACAAAAGGTGAATGAAACTAGAGTACTAACCACCCATCCTGAGCCTTGCAAAGCAGCACCTTCAGCACTCATCTTCTTCACCAAACCTTCAAGAGAGCCAAAGTGAGTGTCAATAGCTCCGCCAAGAGCTCCCTTTGGTGGCTCTCCACCACCTTCCTGTAATACATTCAAACACACACACACCATTAAGCACACATACCAATCAACTGTAACAAACGGAAAGTAAACACAAGCTCACACCTTCACAGGAGCAAGATTCTTCCAGAAAATCGAGTGATTCACATGACCTACACAAACATTACCAATAAAGTCAACGACTTTCATTCTCCACCACAAAATCACAAACATAAAAAAACCAAAACTTTAATTCGATTTTCTCTTCAATTAACACAAAGATCAAAACTTTAGCCAAAGATCCAACACTAACTCCAACCCATCACTAACTAACCGATCAAACACACTAAAAAGAGACCAAAACTATAAATTAAATGCGAAATAATTTTTTAAAAAAAGTCAAGAAGACAACCTCCACCGTTGAACTTGATGGCGCTCTGCAACTTAACGACAGCAGAAGCGTCTCCCTTGCTCACAGCCTGATCCAACTGCTCGAGGGCATTGTTGTAATTAGTTACATAAGCCTGGTGATGTTTCTGGTGATGGATCTGCATAATCTCGCCGCTTATCGCCGGCTCCAAGGCGCTGTAATCATAGGGGAGATCAGGAAGCGTGAAGGTTTGGATTGATCGGAAACCAAGAAGCCTCGAAGATGTCTGTTTAAGGCCCGATAGGGTTTTTCTACTCGCTAAGGAACGAATCGCCATTGTTTGTTGATAGATGATGATGTTGAGACAGAACAGAGAGTGTTCGAGGTTAATGGTCGCCTCAAATGAAGAGATGATAAAGTCACTGCCTGTAACATAGTGATAGTGTAACAGTCATGACACGTGGACTAGTAATAATGGATGTGTCGCTGGAAATTAATGGGCTTAAGTGTTGGGCTAATGAGCGTAAGTCTTTACGTGATGTTTTTTCGTTTGTTTATTATTTTTGGTGTAATGGGCCGTAATATTGGTCTAATGGGCTTTACGTAATTTTTTTTTTGTTGTTTTATTCTAGGAAAGGTGATGATGATGATGGTGAATTGGTGTGATGGCGACGATCTAAAGAGAATCGAAATGAAGTTGACTAAAAGCGGAAAGATTCGAGAATGTTGAAATTGGATGCATGTAAAAGCCAATTCTATTTGGTTCCTCCTTGATTATTCCGAAACGCCGTCGTTTTCAGATCAAATCTAGTTCCTTTCTCTAATCCCCAGGAAGACACCGTTGTACCCAGAAAGTTCCGAGATCGCAGATTTAAGGCGAGGATTCTCAATCAATCGAGATTGGCATTTGGAAAGTCGGAGAATTTTATTGAATCCGGGTCTTGGAATCTCCGATGGATAGTTCGAGTGACAATGAGGGTGATTACGACGGAAGAGGATCCACATCGGAGGATTATAGATTGTTGGGTCGGCAAGTTACGGTTCATCAGTTCATGGGTGGTGGCAAAGGCGAGTCCTTTTATCAGATTTCATCAATTGGGGATGATACTATGAAAAGCTAGGGTTTCTGATTTCACTGGATCATGGAATTGTTTTGTGGGCAATTACATTTTGCAATGCTGAGTTTTTTGTGATCATTTGTGTAGTTCCAATGATACATAGATGCTTTGAAATGATCATTTGAATGTATTAAAAAAAATGGAAATTTAGGGTGAAAGTTAGGTTAAGTGTTGGATCTTGGATGAGAACTATAGATGGATTAAAATCTGGATTGCATTTTTCTCTGGGCTAGAAAAGGTTGAGGTCACAAGTCTTGAAGAGCTCACTGTTTTGTGAATGTTCTTAGAGTCTCAACCATTTTTTTGTATGGCTTTTGTTCTTTAATGCAGCTGCTGACTTGCTCTTATGGAGGAAGAGAAACCATTCGTTGGGAGTTATCGTTTTATCAACCGTAGCTTGGCTTATATTCGAGTTTTCTGGATTGCCTTTCTTATCTGTTTCTTCAGATGTATTACTGATCGTTGTCATAATGTCATTCGTCCTTGCACGGGCTTCTGGATTTAGGAGCAGGTGCACACTAATTCTCACCATAATGTAATTTGTTTGCTGTCTATGTGACTGATCCCTATTACCCTTTTTTCCCTTGTGTAAGCAGACATGTGAATTCGTTACCAGAGCTTGTTCTATCCGAGGAAATGGTGAATAGTGCTGCAGCTTCCTTCCGTGTAAAACTTAATCACTTGCTTGTAATGGCTCATGATGTCACAGTTGGCAACGATTTTCGTCTCTTCTTCAAGGTTATGAAGCCAGCCCTTTCATGAAACTCACAGTGATACTATTTTAGTCTTGGAATCTGAAAAATTGGGCTTAGATATGTTGAGAGTCTTAATTATATCTCTGTAGCAGGTGGTGATTTGTCTGTGGCTTCTTTCTGCCATTGGTTGCTATATTTCTTTCTGCACTCTTGTTTATATCGGTTAGTAACTTCATCCCTATGTGAAAGAAAGGAGTATTTCAAGGGCCTCTCCTTTATGTCTTCATAACCTTTTAACTCTTAATCGTTACTCCATTTGCGTTCAGGGACCATACTATCTGTAACAATACCGGCTTTGTACAGCAAATATCAAAGCAAGGTAGACAAGTGTTGCGGTTTGATTCACAGGCAGTTGTCTCATCACTACAAGTTAGTTGACGAAAATGTTATAAGCAGACTCTCATGGAGCTTCAAGGATAAAGATTCCTGAGCTCACGTTTAGTGATTTTGAAAATGATTTTACCAGTCTTTCTTCATAGTTTTTTATTTTCTTCTTTTTTTACCATGTGGAGTATGTAACTAAACGAGGATATCATTGATGAATATATAAGATGGTTTCAATTGTTCAAGTAAAATTAACCGTCTCCATTTTTGTCTAGAAACACTATGATTGGCTCTAGTCTTATAGAGAGAAACAACTTGAAACTGGCCTCTGTTCCCTTTGGGGGGATTGACTAACCCATTTGCCCAGTTATGTTAGGTCACTTGTCACTCAAATTCTTGCTTATACGAATTTAATATTCAATAGAAAGATTACACAATATATTTGGATCACTTACTATATGACCCAGGTATTCCATGAGGATCCTATGTATAAACCCTTTTACATATTCCTAATCCAATTTAATTTCTCATTTTCCTTTTTGAACTACTAGCTATCATTTATTCTAGATCTATATAGTCTTCCATGTCCATCTACTATACAATATTACATTTCTAGAAGTTTCAACTCTAGTGTGACAATTATATATGTCTGATCTAAACTGGTCACCAACTAAAATTAAATACTAACTGTTTTATTTTTCTAACAACTCAAATTATTTCATAAATAAAGATTCTTATCTATATGGATTTACAAAATAGTTATGAGTACCTTAAACTTTTCTGAAAATACATGAGACTCGTAGCAACTTCCAAGTTTCAACCAAGCATATTATAAAGGAATTATAAATATACACACAGTAGATTCGTGTATGAGGTTGATGGATCTCAGTTCTCACACGTTGGAGTGTGTTGTTGTCAAGTAATGAAACTATTGAAGCTAGGAGAGACAAGTGTTGTGTCTTTTGCGTGAACTTTTATTTTCATTCGTATATTTCTTCATTAATTAGTGTGTGTTTCAATTGGACTTCTTATTCTTATACTCGTGGAACCGACAACGCCACATGAATTTTGTATGAACCATTCAATTCGTAAACCAATTACATAGACATATATTTTTCCATCGGTATCTGAATCTGGATTTAACCTTCGAGTTTCACGTACCATCAAATGAATTTTGTGTGACCAATTAAATGGAAAATTAACTAATCTTTACCGACTACACATATATGGTGACCAAAACTCTAGATCCTTTCATTTTTTTCTCAAGGATAATGCCATATACCTAACCTAACTATTGAAAACCATTTTGATTAGTAATGATGTGTCTATTACACACAAGAAGACGAAAAATATGGAATAACTATATGATATCATATGTTAATTATATTCGTCATGATTAGTTGAGAATATGATACCCCAACCATGCAGTTTTGTATAATCAAATATTGTTTTATACATCAAATCTTATTTGTTGTTTTTAATTTATTTGAGGATTAAGTCCTTTTAGCTTGATTCCAAAGTTCTTAAAACCACTAATAATGAGTTTGTTAGTTGTCGATTCTGATATATATCAACTTAACTAATCTTTTTCTTATTTGTCTTCTTCTCTACTCTATCCTTTATATTTTCCTTAGTCAAAAGAAAATGCACATCGATCCAATATTGAATTGAATAACAGTATAGGGTCCCATTAAATAAAGATCAGAATTAATATTAGGGTATATACCATTACAGTATACACTATGCAGTGGCTCAATGTGTAAAAGTACGTTTTTAAACATAAATCTTATACTTAAATTCGTGCTAATCAAATCAAAACCTTCTCAAAAAAAAAAGGAAAAGGGAAACTTTGCTATCTCCCAGTGAAGTAATGACATGAGAATATGAAATATGTAGTTTAAAAAACAAAAGAATATATATGTGAGCATCTGATTTTGAAATTTTGTTTTGCTTATATTAAAATGAAAAAAAAACATCCATGATCCTAAGTAACCAATATATATAGGACAAAGTAATCAACTATGGTTATTAGAGAAAATAAAAACTCACCCCAAGCAATAAAAACCAAGTTAATAGTGACCATTCACTTACCACATATATAAATAATAATTTTAGTATTTTAGAAGAATTTCTTGCACCAACCACATCATCTCTCTCTATAACTCTCCAAAGAGAGCCGCCCATACATCCCCATATACGACTGTCTTTATCACAACTTGACATAAAAACTTCTTTAGCCTTCTCTCATCTTCACTCACAAGTCAGGAGAAGAAACAAATCAGAAACTTTTGATTTCACATCGAGTCAAAAGCTCAAAACTCCAAAAGAAAGAGGGCCAAGAGAAAAAAAACACATCGTGGTTTGAGCAATCAAGACGAATTTTGAAGGTAAGTGGTCAAGTTTTCTGATCTCCTCTGTTTCTCAAGTATACCTCAAAGATGGGACGGGTGTTACTTGAGACACAAGCAAACGCACCGGCCGAAGCAAACCCTAAAACAAGAACAGGCTTTAACGACACCTACTTCGACACTAATATGGTCATTATTTTAGCTGCTCTACTCTGTGCTCTAATATGTGCTCTAAGCCTCAACTCTGCCTTGCGATGTGTGCTACGCATCACAAGCAGATTCACATCGGATCAAGAATCCGCCGCTTCAAACGCAAACGCGAATCCTGGACGTTTAACGGCTAACACGGGGATCAAGAAACGAGCGTTGAAACAAATCCCAGTGGGGTTGTACGGGTCAGGGATCATTAACATGAAAGCTACGGAGTGTTTGATCTGCCTCGGGGATTTCGTGGAAGGAGAGAAAGTTAGGGTTTTGCCAAAATGTAACCATGGCTTTCACGTGAGGTGCATCGACACTTGGTTGCTTTCACGTGACTCTTGTCCTACTTGCAGACAATCTCTTATCCTTGAGCAACCGTCGCCGACAAGTGGTAGTTCTCGCCGGGATAATGACGTGGCGGCTTCTGTCGTTGGGACATAAACTTGATGGTGGTTTCTTGAACTTTGCTTTGGGTCAGGTGGGCTTTTAGTTGGTTACGTAATATTGTTTCTTATTTTATTAGGTCTAAAGTTGATGTGATTGTTGACACATGTATATTCTTGTGTGGTGGTGAATTTAAATTTGATTGGTTTGGAACTTGAACTGAAACATAGAATGTCTTTTATTTTTCCTTTAGTAGTTCCATAAGACATGTAGCTCAACGTATATGGTTAGCAACGTGACCATCTAAGAGCATGATTAACCCCAGGTTCTTTAAGGGGGATTCTTAGCGAAAACTAAAAAACCGTTTCTTAACTTTTAACTAAAAACGTTAAGAACTGTTCTTAAATAAGGACTTTAAGAACTAGTTCTTAGCGTTTTTAGTTAAAAGTTAAGAAACAGTTTCTTAGTTTCCGTTAAGAATCTCGTCTTAAAAACCCTGGGCTAATCATGGTCTAAAAGGAGATTAAGATTATATAGCGGTCTAAAATTCAAAACTTCTTGTTATATATACAAAAAAACAATTACAAAGTGTAGTTTTTAGTCACTTGTTAATGCATGCGCAAATCGTAACATTATTATCTTTTGTTACTGGGATCAGAAATATATTTTCAAACATTAGGATTCGTTTAAAACGAATGCACTGTTTATTCTTTGTAAAAATGTCTTTATGAATTTTGTTATCTCTTATTTTGGTGGTGAAAAATCTACCAACAGATCGTGAAATTAAGATATGATGTGAAGGATTAATTCAACGGCACTCATTCTCGTGTTTGCATTCAGTAGCAACTTCCACAACCACTCTACTTTCTCTACTTTCTCTACTTGGCACTTGCATTCTAGCAGTGTAATCTTGGGCCTTATTGAGCCTAAATTTTCATGATTCAGTAAGTGGCCCACAAAGTCAAATTGAGAGGACCAGATAGTACTAACTTCACGTTTATGATTTCTATTACGGTTATGGAAGCCACTTTTCGTTTTTCTTGTTGTACCGTATAAACAATCTAAAAGTTCTAATGTATAAAGTATAGACAATCTAATCTTTTTATCGGATATGTGCAATACCACCCATAAAGACTGGGAAGCTGCAGTGACACTCAGATAATAGTGTCAGTCTTTGTTGAGAGTTGGTTAAGAACTTATACTATTATCATTTATCAGATTTTGGGTTTGTCAATTACACTATCAAACAAAACCACTGAGCTAAATCATAAACATAATCTAATACACATTTTTTAATTATATTTAAAACTTTTTTAGTAAAAGGACTTATTGAGAACATTTTTATCTTTACTAATGATGTGAAAACTGAAAAAAAAACCATGCGTACAACATAGTTTTCTATTTAGATCATTTCCAACCCATTGCTATATTCACATTTAAATCTCTATAATATTATTTGAGAAGTCAGTTTCCTATGTGGCGCTCTCACGTTCACTCTCACGATGGTTGATTACACTGATACCCTTAATGAATTAAAAATAGTTAAAAATAGTATTATTCATTCTTTTATTTAGTTTCCTTTTCAAAAATTTCCAAAAATATATGTAATAAAAAGGAAATTTTTTATAAAGTCACAAAAAAATTTGAAAACAAAAAATATATGTATATATAATATGATTTCATAAAAAAGAAAGTTCACAAAATAATAATAATACATTTAAAATATTTTTAAATAACATAAAATATACTTTTAGAGTAATAAAAATAGTTTATAATTAGTATTATTGATTTTTTTATTTATTTAGTTGACTATAATATCTTTCAATTACAGAAAATTATCTATAGATTATATTTTACCTATATAATATTATTTTCAAATATAATTACAATTTTGTGCAGTGCTTATTTTTAAGAGATATTAAAAACTTAAAACAAATTTAATAATAAATATCGCTTGATCAAATAATTAACAATTAACATGAGTTAGATATATGATATTTTATCATTATTTAAAAAAAAATTTAATATTAAATTTTATGTTTTTTATGTTTGTGAAACTAAATATAACCATAATAAAAATACCAAAGCAGATCTGAATTCCCAATTTTAAGATTATTTAAAATAAATTTTAGTTTATATTCATTAAATATAAAGCATAAAGTTATTTAGAATTTATAAATATTTTAATTATTGTAAATATTGATATATGTTCATGAGCTTCCAAAAATATATCAACTACTTATGCATGTAACCTTCTATTGACTTCGGATAACTCAAAACATATTAACAAATGAAAATAAATATTAATCAACTCTTACAATTTTAGTTCTTTTATAAAATTTATATATATGCATGTGACTTTAGAATATTATCGTTATATTAATTTACGTATTTTGGAATCAGACACTTTAGTTAATTTTTAATTCATTCTAAGTACAATATATCTTAAGTTATACATAATTTTCCAAAAATATATTTACATATCTTAGACAACACCCACTATATGCAAATAAGTAATTAATTAAAAATTAGATATTACAGTTGGATTCAAAAAAAATCAATTTATCCAAATGATAACTAAATCAACCGTAAAAACAATAAAATCGACTAGATATAACATATATAAAATTACAGGATAAATAAACTAAAATAATATTATTAATATAAATGATGCTTACAAATTATAAATTAATTTAAAATTAAAACTAAATAGTAATCAATTATTATTATATATTTACTTTAAAAATATTTATACCCGTGCATGAGCACGGGAAAATCACCTAGTGTTATAATATATACAAAGTGCTCCAACTCATTTTTATGTTTTTATTTAAAATAGAGATTACTATTTTACCTTTATTTATAGAGGAAAAATAATATTCTTCTATTATAGAGTCATACTTTCAAAATAATCTTTAACTTCCAAACTTTTATACATATAACTAAAATAGTTATGTTAATATGGAAATATAGTTTTGATAAAAATATAATTACACATTTTATTTACAGAATAGTCTTTTTAAGAAAACTTTAGTTTAAAAAAAGTCATAACTTTATGAAAATCTTGTAAAGTTTAAAATTGAACAGGGTTAATTTTTAACTTTTATAAGTAAAAGGTACTTGTGTAAAATAAAAATAGAATATTTTGAGAATATTATATTATAGAAGAAAAAATACTAAATAGAAAAATACATCGGAAAGAAATCCATCTCAATTTTAGGATTATTCTATTTAAGGGTTAAAAGTGAGAGAATACATTGGAGATTATCTTAGTTATAGAATTTAGAGAAGTTGCACAAAATTTTTATACTATAACATGTAATAAGAAATGCATGACTAAATTTGTTAAGAATCTTTTTAATTATAAAATAGAATGGTAAAAGTTAGTCTTAGTTTCTAAAATTAACATTAAAATGAGCATAACTGGAATTGACTACCACTAAGTTTTGACTGCTAAATAAACTCAATCAGTATAATACATTATACATGGGAACATTCCCGTGAAGAAGCAAAAGAAAAATGATTACAATAATATAGATTGTAGTCAAAGATAAAAATAATCCAAATTGATTAGGAATAGAACAATATATATACGTTGATTTTGACCATAACGGTAAATTAATTATTTAAATTGACCATGAAGAATAATGACATGTTGGTAAATTGCCAGTTAAACTAGATTTTACCATCTGTTTTAAAAGTGCGATATTAACTTCCATTCAAAAAACTTATTTACTGAAAATTAAAATTTATGCATATGTATTTTTATAAAATATTTGTTTATAAAGTATATAAAATTAAATTAGTATTTATATAAATATAACATTTGAAAATACAATATTTCATTTATCTGACCCAAACACATTAATTTTAATTATATTCTAAAGCTTTAAATTTAATATGAATTTAATTTTATCTTTTTATCTTGATCAAAATTTATTTTATTATATACTAATACATGTCATTTAACTTGTATAATACTTGATAAATATTAGATGTTTATTAATAATTCGCAACAAATTTTAATTATGAGAGATAAGATATAGTTCGACGTACAATGAAATCAAATATATTAATATCAACTAAATTTAGTATTATATTTTTATCAATTTAAAATCTATTATTTATCTTATTATAATTTAAATATGTATATTAAAATATATAACTATTTATTAGTTTTAATATCTTACTTAAATATTTTCTTTTAGTAAGTTGAAGCTTGTTGCACAATCCACAAATATATGTTATTTTTTATAAGTTTTATTTTAGTTTAATAATTTATTAAAATTTTAAAAATATATTATTTTATTTTATATTAATTAATTTGTGTAGTAATTTAATTATGAATATTAATTATGTGTATACAAAATATTGATGAAATGATTTCTTATTCTAGAAATAAAAATGAAATAATATTTATTTATAATAATAGTTAATATTAATTATAAAGTTATATTATTTGAAAGTAAATATTAAAAATGGATTTCTATTTTAAATAAAAATTTATTAAAATGAAATCTTACAAAAAGATATTAAGAATATTTCTTACATATCTTACTTTCAAAATATTTAATATATTAGGCTAGGATATATACTTAATAATAAGTAAATTAGATTTAGAAAATATAATAGGAAGTTAAATAAATGTAATGGTCTGACTATGGCTTCTTGTAAGTAGATTTTTTAGTGTTTCTGCTTTTATAGGATAAGGCAAAATCAAAAATAACCATATAAATATTATTTAACTAAATGATAAGCAGATATTTGTCTAAAATATATTTTCATATATATCCTATCTAGTTTATTGTATAGATAATTAATTGTTTTATTGTTTTATATATTTAAGGAATGTAACGTGAATAAGTAAGTCAAAAATTAGTGAATGTGCATGCATGATTGTGATTGTAAGAAAGCACATAACCTCTGAATATATAGCTATATATATTGATATTGAAGACAATAGAACACAAAAGCCAAAAAGAAAGTACAAAAGAAGATGAAGTGTTTGTGTTTGATCGCGTTTCTAGCAATTGTGATCACACAAAGCTATAACGATCTAGGAGTAGAAGCAGCGTCGAGTGATGGTTTCGTGAGTAGGAAGGGCGTCCAGTTTATTCTCAACGGGAAACCATTTTACGCCAATGGATTCAATGCCTACTGGCTCACGTACGAAGCCACCGACCCGGCCACAAGGTTTAAAATCACCTACGCCCTTCAAAACGCGACCAGTCACGGTCTGACCGTCGCACGTACTTGGGGTTTTCGAGATGGCGGTTACCGTGCTCTCCAAACCGCCCCTGGTTCCTACGATGAACTAACGTTTAAGGTACACCGTAAATTATATTTTGATATGAATTTGTAGATAGAGATCAATTTAAAAGGTGAATATTTTTTCCATCAGTTTCGATAAATTTTCATTAAAGAAACATAAAGATATATATATATAGAGAGTATATTTATGTATCTACTACCATAGGTTTTATTTTGGTTACTTGAGATGTTTCAGATGTCAGGAACACTTAAATTTTATAGGTTGTAAATAATGATATAAAGCAAACAATCTTTCGATCTAAAATATATTTTTAGAAAAATAAGTTTATGTATAAAGTCTAAATTTTCCTCACCACGAGTGAAGCTTTTTAATCTAATAATATCTTTTATATTCTGTTAATAATTTGTTTTACATATTTTAGGGTTTGGATTTTGCGATAGCCGAAGCAAAAAGACTGGGTATAAAAATGATAATCACCTTTATCAATAACTATTCTGACTTCGGAGGAAGGAAACAATACGTGGATTGGGCTAAAAGTCGAGGCCAAGCCGTGAATTCAGAAGATGATTTCTACACAAACCCTCTTGTTAAACAGTTCTACAAGAACCATATCAAGGTACACTTAAACCCTTTTTTGTATATATTTTTCCTTTATTCTCTTTCAGACTGATTAATTAATATTCAAAACAAAAATATTCGACATAACATATGATCTTTCGCTTTAGACTATGGTGAACAGAGTGAATACATTCACCAAAATTGCATACAAAGATGAACCAGCCATTATGGCTTGGGAGCTCATGAACGAGCCACAATGCAAAGCAGATCCAAGTGGAAAAACCCTAACGGCTTGGATTGGTGAAATGGCTACTTACGTAAAATCACTTGATTCAAAACATCTCCTTACTACTGGTCTTGAAGGCTTTTATGGTGACTCATCTCCTCAAAGAAAGACCTCTTTAAATCCGGTTGCAGCCAACGTTCTTGGAACCGATTTCATCGCTAATCACAAATTTGACGCCATTGATTTCGCATCGATACACTCTTACCCTGACTTATGGTAATATATCATAAACTCACATAAGTCGCACTGGATGTTATACATTCGTGTAGACAAAATCCTCATGTTTTTTTTTGTTCCTTGCTTAACACATTACCTTATAAAAATCGTTTATTTCCCTCTTGTATAGTCCATAACGTGGGATTATCTTAGTTTTTATCTTAGCACCTTTAAGGCTTTTGATTTCTTACCCGTAGACATAAGTATGCAATATGCATGTATTGCGTAATATATGTCCACTATAAATTTGTTTTCTATTCGTAAAAATGTTTAGTTTCTCCTGATACTTTTTATTTTAGTCAAAGTTGTAGTGTTTAGAGTTAATTTGTGTTCCATCCTAGGGAAGGTTTAAGTGTTTACGGTTTATGATTCAGCTTGACCAATCAAACTTAATACCATTTCTTTAGCATCAATATTGCTACAAGAAGTAAATTAACTAGCTTTCAATTTACAAAAATAAAAAATTGCAACAAGAAAATTTTTTGTTTTACAATTTAATCTCCATTCCACTCCATGTTTATTTTGCAGGTTTCCAAACCTAAATGAGACATCTCGATTGGACTTTTTAAGAAAATGGCTTGAAGGCCACATGGAAGATGCTCAAAACATTCTTAAAAAGCCTCTAATCCTAGGAGAATTCGGGAAACCATCGAATACACCAGGCTATACTCTAGCTAAGAGGGATGCCGTTTTCAGTGCAACGTTCGACACCATTTACGCGTCTGCGAAAAAAGGCGGTCCAATCGCAGGAGCATTGTTTTGGCACCTTATTAACGATGGTATGAACAATTTTAAAGATGCCCTCTCCATTGTACTTAGTGACCACACCTCGACGGTTAAGATTATTGGTCATCAGTCACGAAAGTTGGGTTTGATTGGTGGAAAGGGAAAATCAAGAATTAAAATTTAGATAGGGGCCTTTCGGTAATAGTCTACACCAAAATTATATCCAATATATCTATTAATAATAGCAATCTGTTAAAGAATAAAGAAGGTTGTAACTCTCATAGTATTATTAATCACGTGGTTACATATATATATATACATACAAGAGAATAAAGCATATTCCTTAGGAGATAAGGATTGCTACAAATAAAGGGGATGATTATCCTAATCCTATAATGATTAGGATATCTACAACATATGGATAAATACAAGGGAGGATAATGACAAG